TGCTATGTGTCTCGTGTGCACCCGGACCATAGCGGTAACAGAGGAGCGGCAAATTTGAATGTGTGTGTGTGTGTGTGTGTGTGTGTGTGTGTGTGTGTGTGTGTGTATGTCAGAGCCAGCGCCAAACTGCCGTCTGATTAGGTCTCCTTCTTTACACTACCTTCTCTCTCTCCAAGCTGCGTACTGCTCGGGTACCGAGACAGGTAGTCAGCAATCACATTCTTCCTCCCAGGGATGTGACGGACATTGTAGCGGAAAGGTTGGAGAGCTAAGTACCATCGAGTAACTCTGGCATTGTTGTCCTTCATCGCATTGATCCAGCTTAGGGCCCGATGGTCCGTCTCCAAGTCAAACTCTCTCCCAAGCAGGTAATACCGGAGGCTATCGAGGGACCATTTAATGGCAAGACACTCCTTTTCAATTGTAGAGTATCTTGCCTCTCTAGGCAGCAGCTTACGACTGAGGAACACCACTGGCTTCTCCTCCCCAGCAATCCCTTGGGCTAGGACCGCTCCTAATCCTGTTGCAGAAGCATCAACCTGGACCACAAACCGCTGAGAGAAGTCAGGTATCTGGAGAACTGAACTGGAACAGATCCTTTCCTTGAGGGATCTAAAAGCCAACTCACAGTCCTCCGTCCATGGTAAGGGGTTCCGTACTGCCTTAGCCAACAAGTTGGTCAATGGGGTAGCAATAGAGGCGAATTCTGGGATAAATCGCCTGTACCATCCCACCAGACCCAAGAAGGATCTAACTTCTTTCTTTGTTCTTGGTGGTGGGCTGCGATGAATTGCCTCTACCTTGCTGACTTGTGGTTTCAATTGTCCATTACCTAACAGGTATCCTAAATAACAGGCTTCTCGTTGTGCCCATCTGCATTTTCCCACGTTCAGAGTCAAACCTGCTCTCTGTATTCTTTCCAGAGTTTGCTTGAGGTGTTGGATGTGATCGTTCCAGGTGTTACTGAAGATGACAACATCATCCAAGTATGCAGCTGAACATTCCTCCCCACCTTGCAGGACTCGATCCATCATCCTCTGGAACGTTGCTGGGGCTCCATGCAATCCGAAGGGCAAGACAGTGAAATGGAATAATCCAAGGGGAGTCTTAAATGCAGTATAAGGTCGAGATGCTGGGTCAAGAGGCACTTGCCAGTAACCTTTACAAAGATCAAGAGTGGTGATGAACTGGGCTCGGCCGATCCTTTCCAACAATTCATCCACTCGGGGCATCGGGTATGCATCAAACTTGGATTGGCTGTTCAATTTACGAAAGTCGATGCAAATGCGAAGTGTATGGTCCTTCTTCGGCACAATGACTATTGGGCTACTCCATTCACTTGCAGAGGGTTCGATGACGCCCAGTTGTATCATCGTCTCAATTTCTGTTTTTAAAGGAGTTAGAAGGCGCTCAGGGATGCGATACGGCCGCTGTCTCGATGGCGTAGGGTCATTTAAGTGGATGGTGTGTTGGGCTACATCCGTCCGTCCAGGCCTTTGACAAAGCAGATCTGGAAACTGATATAGAAGATGTTGCATGTCAGACCTTTCAGGATCTTGTAGATGGGTAAAATCGAGTTGTGAGGTCTGCCTCTGAACTTGAGCTTCACAGTCCTCATCCTCCACCTCCACTTTCCTAACCATCAACACAGTTTTAGCCTCCACACTGGCTTGCTCTTTCCACTCTTTTAACAAGTTTACATGGTACGTCTATCTTTCCTTTCCTTTATCTGGGTGGTGCACTTCATAAGTTAGCGGACCCATTTTCCGGCTAATGGTGTAGGGTCCCTGCCACTTCGCCAGTAGTTTGTTGGTTGAAGAAGGTAGCAACAGTAGTACTTTTTGTCCTGACTGATATTGGCGAAGCCTGGCCTTTTGATCGTACCACCTTTTCTGGTTTTGTTGAGCCTGTTTCAGGTTAACCTTGGCTTCGTCCCTGTAACGCTCCAGTCGTTCTCTCATCTCCAGAACATAGCTCAGGATACCCTTTTCCTGGGGTTTGGAGGCAGGTACCTCCCAGCTCTTCCTCAGCAAATCAAGAGGTCCCTGCACCTGCCATCCATACAGCAACTCAAATGGAGAGAATCCTGTCGAAGCTTGTGGTACTTCCCTGTAAGCGAAGAGCAGAAAGGGTAACCATCTATCCCAATCTCTCCCCGTATCCGCAACAAACTTCCTTAGCATCCCTTTCAGTGTTCTGTTGAAGCGCTCCACAAGGCCATCTGTCTGTGGATGGTATGGACTAGTCTTGATGCCGGAGATGCCCAACTGGCGACGAAACTGTGCCATTAGACGTGAAGTAAAGTTCGTCCCCTGGTCAGTAAGAATTTCGTCAGGAATACCTACACGGGAGAACAACTGGACAAGGGCATGGATAATCTTTGGTGTTGTGATGGTTCGCAGAGGGAATGCTTCTGGGTACCTGGTAGCATAGTCACTAATGACAAGGATGTACTGGTATCCTGCACTGCTCCTCTCTAGTGGGCCCACAATGTCCATGGCAATCCGTCGGAAGGGTTCGCTGATGATTGGTAGTGGCTGTAATGGAGCCCTGTCCTGTTGGCGAACCGCACTGGTCTTCTGACAGACTGGACAAGTAGTACAGTGTGCATGTATGTCAGTGTACATAGTGGGCCAATAAAAGCGTGCACTTATACGTGTGTATGTCTTGTGGTGACCTAAATGCCCGGCCCATGGAACAGCGTGTGCTATGTGCATAACAAGATTGCGACAGCATGTAGGCAACACCAAACGTTTCACATCATCTGTTTGCACATACAAAATCCCATTATCAATGACATACTGTTCTTTATGCACATTAGACACACATTTCCCTTCTGCTTTGTCAAACAATGGTTGCAAAGACAGATCTTTTCTTTGCAAATCCCCAATTTTCTCTGGAATCTGCCAATTGCTCACTTCCAAACCCTCAGTATTAACTTCTGGGTCTGGACTACCCAAATATTTGGATGCACGCCGCTGTCGGCGTGACTTTCTGGGGCCCTTAGTCCCACCCTGAATCAGACTATCGTGCAAGTCTGGTAAGGGCTGTAACCCAGCCTTAGCTTTGGCCCGTGTTACAACAGGGCATGATAGCTGTGCTTCTACCTTATCACCATCAGAGTTCATTGTACCTTGCAATAAATCAGGCAATATAGGCAAATCTTTCCCTAGAATCATGTCAGTAGGTAACGATTCAACAACTGCAACCTTGAGTAAATACGTTTGTTCATAAACACATACATTCACCACAGTACTTGGGTAACTTTTCACATCCCCATGTACACATTGGATGTCAATGGTGTCATCAAAAAACATGTTTGCAGCATGACATGATTTCAACAAAGAAATGGCACTTCCAGTGTCCAACAACGCTCTCACAGATTGTCCATCAACAGTCACAGTCATTATGTTCTGAGAGTCACACATATTTATATCCTCAATGTCCTTCTCTCTAGGAACATAGCAGTAACCCGTGAGTTTAGCTTTACGGATGGGACACACAGTGGCTTTGTGCCCTGGCTGTTGACAGTAATAACAAATAAGTTCCTTGTCTGTGCCTGTTTTTGATTCAATTGTATCCATATACGGTCTTTGTGAAGTGGTTTTAGCATTACCTCGTGGTGGTTGAGACCGTTGACTTCCCCGATGAGCATTTCCATATTGCTGCGCCAACCTTGCTGCTGCCAGTCCGCTGGTAGGCTCGTGCTCCTTAACCCACATGCGGCTGTCATATGGCAACACTCGCAACAGTTGTTCGAGGATAATCAATTCTCCAATCCCCTCCTTCGTGGACTGCTCTGGTCGAACCCACCGACGATACAAGTTCCGTAGCCGGTGATACGTCTCAGTTGGGGATTCTCCCGCCGGTACTGCCGAAGCCCGGAAGCGCTGCCGATACGTCTCCGGTGAGATATTGAATTTTTCAAGGAGAGCCTCCCGCAGCTCATCATAAACCTCGGCTTGCTCCTCATCCATAGCCAGATAGGCCTCCAATGCTCTGCCTGTTAGCAACGGCACCAGCCTACAGCTCCACTCCTCCTCAGGCCATCTCCACGTCCGTGCCAGACGCTCAAAGCGACGTAGAAAGTTTTCCATATCCTCGCCAGCTTGGAAGACTGGCATTTGCGGCTCCGATCTTAGTGGTGGTGGTGGTGGTGGTGCTGGTGGTGGTGGTCTAGACCGGCCTGGCGTCGGAAGCTCCATTCGTGGACTCGCAGCACTGCTTGGTGTAGCCGCTGCCTGACCCGTCTGCTGCATGGATTCACGTATTCCTCGGAGTTCAGACAGATATCTCTCCTCCCTCTGTTGTTGAGCACCAAGGAATTCCCGCATTAACGCCACCATTTCCCCAGTTTGCATCGTCCCCCTCGTTGTGACAGTGCTGGGCTGAGGTGAACTGGCTCTCGGATATTCCTCTGTCTCCTCATCCTCCGATTCACCCAGTAAATCCAGCTCCGGATCCATTGCACTCTGCCTCACTTGTGAACGTGGTTTCCGCCCTCTCTGTGTCTTTTTACGAGTGGCCATCCCACTTCTGACACCAAAATGTAGGGAAGTGCCACTTCGCCAGTAGTGGTAACAGAGGAGCCCGGAATTAAGTCGGTGCTTTGTTTGTATTATAAAAAAAAAATTAATTAAGAAGACACAAGCCAGTGTGGATCTTCCGTTCTTTATTTGAAAGTATTGCAATTTCCACTGATCTATGCACCCCCACCCCCCCCCCCCAACCCCCCCCCCCCCAAGAAAAAACTTTTGAGTGCACTGATTTGATCTTTTAGGATTTATTTTATAGACAAAAAAAAAGAATGAAAGAGGTAGCGAACCAGATTTGTAATCGACATACCTGTTATTTAGTAAATGAAAAAGTAGGAGCTTATGATCCTGTAATGAGGCTTGATGACATGAATATGTGGTGCATATCGCCATCTTATGGTTACCAAAAAAAAACCATTACAAAATGAGAATGAAGTTTAGTTTTTAATGTAGCTTCCTCCAAAGTTTAAAAAACAAAAATCGGCATTCTGTTCATGAATTTAGTTTATTTGTGAAATGAAGCTTTGACTTAATGACTGTAATGTTGTGTTTGTACAAAGATTTTTAATCTAATTTTAAACATGGGTATTTATGTTCCATCAGACTTTTTGTTCTCAGTGTCTGAGTTGGCAATTTGGGAATGTGATTCTTTCATTTATGTGCTTCAGTCTGTTAGTAGAAGGCATAATAGTTATGCCTTTTCAGTTGTGTCAGGTTTTTGTACAGTGTTACAGTGTTTCCTGTGACTGTGGGCCTCAGAGCACAGTAATACACAGCAGAGTCTGACACTTCAGCAGAGGAGATCTCCAGATCCACACGTTTGTTCTCTTTTTCTTTTCTAGTCTTAGTAGAGAACCTGGGATCTACCTCAGATGTCTTAGTCTCTTTCACACCCTCCATTATGAGCACAAGGAATTGAGGAGCTGATCCGGGATTCTGACGGTACCATAGAAGTGAATATGCAGAGGAATAACTGCAGGATAATGTAACAGTTGAAGACACTGCAGCAAACTCTTCACTGCGCTCTGGTGTGATTTCATCTCCTAAACTCACACCTGGAAAAGAACAAAATAACAAATTTTTAATTTCCAAATAGTAATTACATTTTATATTTTTTACAGTGATTTGAAATTGTATACATACAATACACAATACTTATAATACTTATTACATATTATTTAGTTACATTGTCATGATATGAGATTGTATCAGTTTACAATAAAATAAAGTTCATTAAGTAAGATGAGAAAATGATTGATGATAAAATATGTGTAAGTTCTCAAAGTACAGCTGAGCTTTCTTTTTGGAATGAAAATGCATGTACAAAAATGTACTTACATGCCAAGGCAGAGAGCAGAATGACTGAATGAAGCATCATTGTACATGTGTGTGTGTTCACTACAGCAGGACTGAGCTTTGTCACAGTCTAGCAAATGTAACAAGATCATCTGAGATGTTAAACTCCTCCCCTTTCATCCTCTGTCGCTTTCATTACTGTCGTTTGATGCCCAAAAAAAAAAACCTCACATACATGTACACACAGTTTAAAACCAAACATTACATTTAGTATAATAAATGTGATATCTGCTCATGCAAAAAGGCTGTCAAAGCTGAAAACTAAGATAAATAAATACAAAAGATAGAGAAAAATAACACGAGGGTTAATATTTTAATCCATAAATCAGTTACATTGTACGAATGTTGTCATGTTATATTTAAATACGTTTCATTAGAAATGTTAGGTAGGCCTAATGCAGGGTCCAAAGATGAGACGACAAGTTTTAAAGTTGAGACACTCACACACATATATAATGCATATTTTAAAAACTTTTTTGTATAAATATATTTAGTTTAGGCCTATATAATGTCACAAGTCTGTCCTGTCATATGTAGCACATGTGGTGTTCTCTGTTCCTGTCTCTGTCTTGACTCCTCCTTCCTTGTTATCTGATTATTGGTTAATTTGTCTCACTGTTTTTCTCGTTACCTTCCTTGTTTGCTTCCCTATTTAGTCTCCCTGTGTTTGTAGTCTTGTGCTGGTTCGTTGTTATCATGTTCCTCGTGTTTCCTGCTGGACCTGATGTATTCTTTGTCTGTTTTGGTTTGTTAGTTTTTGTATTTATATTTACTTTATTAAATCCTCTTTCTGCACTTGAGTCCTCGATCCTTTCCACTATCCAGCCGTGACATATAACAGTTGTTAACAGCAATAATAAGAAATTTCTGTCGTAAGAACAGGTATTCAGCTGATGGACACCGTGCTGCGTTGTCATGGGAACATTCCAGGTGAAAATAATGAGGAAATTAAGTTGTCTTTCGTTGCTCCCTTCACCAAGTGCGATCCAAACGGCTACATAATGACACACAAGTGCCCTGCTCACTCCAAAGTCCCCACTTCAAGGGCTCTGTCCTTTGAAAGGAGTAGGGCATACAGGTGATGTGAATGACAGTGATTCCAATTATGTTGACATATGGGAGCTTTATGCAGTTTATACCCTTTATGGCTGATTATTTTATCCGCTGTAATGTGTCTCCCTAAGTTTTTGTATGAGTGTTGAGTGTGTTTGAGTCACAGTGGGCTGCAGAGCACAGTAATACACAGCAGAGTCTGACACACTCACATCCTGGATTGTCAGTGGAACAGATCTTGATGTGGAGTTCAATGTTGCAGAAAATCTCTCCTTAAATTCATCCTCAGTAGTTCCTTTGCCAACTGTAAATTCACTCAGAATGAATGTTGGTGGTCTGTTTGGTAGCTGTTTGTACCAGAAGAGGTATGGACTTTGAGAAGTTGTAGTATAATTACACCTTAAGATTACTTGATCTCCTTCACTTGCAGTCCTTTCTCTATAAGACTGTTCAACCCTGTCCTGTCCCGAGGACACTGGAAAAAAGGTAAGTCATTAACATTCATTATTTGCAAAGTAAACAAACATTTAATAACCTAAATGAAAGTAAACTCTTTTCTGTGAAAGTGTGCAGAAACAGAATAAAAGTGCTTACGATCAAAATGTGCTATGAAACACAGGGAAATCAAAGCCCGGCTAAACATACTTGTTCTCTGAGGTAAAAGAACTGAAATGAACTCAACACAAGTCAACAGTGCTCTCAAAAAAAGCCTGTCTCACTGAGCTCTATTTTAATGTATCATGTCACATGATCTACTCATACACGAAGAGAGCAATGCTGACCCCTTGTGGATAAAGTTTGAAATAACTTAAAATGTGTTCAACCATGAATGATTTTTCACAAAAATAGGACTATCCTCAAATATTTTTGAACACATGCTTGATCCCCTCTACTCATCTCTCGGTGTGTATATTGTAAAGCCATTTACTCATATACCACTGGGCATCATGCTCTTTTTCTTTTTTTTTTTCTTTGCAGTGTTAAAGTAAAAGTTATCTGAAGAAGGTGTGCTTTGACTGTGTATTGTCCACAGTGGTACATGCGAATGAGTAAACTAAAACTTTTCTACTTAAACTAATCATGCTTTTGTGTTTCCTGTGGCTCCTTTGAGCAAGATGCTTGGAATACCATTGTTTCCTTTTTTGTATAGGTTTTTGTACAGTGTTCTAGTGTTTCCTGTGACTGTGGGCTCCAGAGCACAGTAATACACAGCAGAGTCAGATACTGCGGCAGAGGAGATCTCCAGATACACATGGCTTTGTTTTTCTTTTCTGATCTTACTTGTGAATCTTTGATCTACATCAGATGTCTTCACATCTTTTACACTGTCTGAGATGAGCACAAGGAATTCCGGTGCTGATCCGGGATACTGACGGTACCAAAGTAAAGACCATGCAGAAGAATAGCTGCAGGATAATTGAACACTTGAACCTTCGGCTGCAAACTCCTGTGTTTTGTCTGGTGTAATAGTATCTCCATTACTGGAACCTGCAAAGAAAAGTGAAATAGTCTCAGAGGGTGCAAATTTGACTGTGCTGATAAAATGTGAGCATTTCAGATGTTCATTCACTTATAGTGTACTTTTATATATTAAGGCCACAAATGAGACCATTAACTATTGTGATCATTAATTTAAGGACAGCCTTGAAGTGATGGTACTTACATACTAAAGCAGAGAACAGAATAACTGAATGGAGTATCATTGTGTGTGTGCTTACAGTCTCAGCTTGAATGATCTTATGACGGTTCAGTAAAATACACTCAGATACGTTAAGCTCCTCCTTCCTCTCCTCCTGGGGATTCTGTGAAAAAGAAAAGGGTGTCAATTAACCAAGCAATAAAATTATTAAACTTTTAGAATCTACATTCACGGAAATGTTTTTTTTTTTTTTTTTGACTGACATAAAGCTGAAATGTTTTCTTACCAATGCAAAGTTGGATTATTATCCAAGTAAAACGAAACATGTTGTCCTCAGAGAGACGATCGATGATGCCAAAATAGTTGTTTAATTTCCCCATCAGCATCTCTGTCAGTGTGAATCGGCTCCACCCACTGCTGGTGTTTTTTATAATTGAGCAAGACATCTTTTTGGAAAAGGGAAATATGACCTATGAATGTCATAACAGAGATTCATAATTTCATTATAACAAAAATATTCATAATACATTTTTGCATTAGCAATAAGCAGCACTTTATAGCCATATGAAGTGGTATATCATTGTGAATATTTTACATCGATACATTCAAAGAAGAGTAAATACATTTTTGTTAATTATTTGATTTTTTTCTATAAAGAAAATTCACAGCTGGAATATGTATATTGAGGGAAATTGAGGCTCATGTTAAAAACTGCACGAGTCAGATCTCTTAGTTCTTGTCAGGATGTTTGTTTTTCAGTCACAGTGGGCTTCAGAGCACAGTAAGACACAGAAGAGTCACACACACACACACACACACACATCCTGGATTGTCAGAGAAACTGAGCTTGAGGATTTGTTGAGATCTGCATGAAATCTTTCCTCAAATTCTTTTTCACTGCTGCTTGATGAGAGTTTATGTAACCCAGTAGGTTATAACTATGTTGTTAATAAGTTACTTCAATTTATTAGCTTGTATTTATGTTTAATTAAGAGATAAAATCTGAATTAACCATTCATCTTTTTTTTGTGATTATATGTGTATTTGTGTCTTTAAGAGCGCGCGTGCATGAGATACAAGTTTGATGTAGGTGTACATGTGGAAAACGTGGCTTTAACCATTAGTTAGGTGTTTGATTATTTTATTGGTGTATGTGAATTAAGTCCCGCCCTCACTGGTGTTTTGTGTAATGTGAGTGGTTGTTCGGGAGATGAGAGTTTTGTTGACAAGCGGAGAGAGACGGAGATTGAGTAGAGACGCATTTGCGGGGACAGAGTGATTTGATTGACGATTTATAAGTTTAAACAACCTTTAACTGTAATGTAGATCCAAGATGAATCCCTTGTGTGTGCGTCTTTGAGTTTGTAGCCAGTGTTTTTTATAGTTTTTGTTTCGTGTGGCTAACCTGCCGTGTGGGAGCGAATCCGAGTGTTTTCGGTTAGTTATCACTGCGCATATCAGCGCATCTGAACTGATAGTTTACAGCGACAGTTATACAACCGACTAAAGACTGTTTAACCTGGTTGAACTTGTTGTCCTTCACAACGAGGAAGACCTTGAGGACCAGATAGCGCCCCAAATACCCGCGTTATTTGGGGTTCCTCTGGCGGCGTGGGAGAGTAGTATGAAGCTGCAGACTCGGAGACCTGCATCTACAGTCCCCCTGCACCCAGAGTCCCGCATCCAGACGTTTTTCGAGACAGCGCCTCCTATCAAATTGTATCGGATAAACATGTGAAGAACATGTGAAGAACTTAAGCCAAAACGTGAGTAGGCTATCTTCAATTTTATTTAGCGAATCGTAGTAGCCTACTCGTTTGATTTATTTTTTAATAAAACTAATTTAGCTCATCGATACAACATATGAATAGTCCATTTAATATTTGTAAAGATAGTTTGTAACAAGATTTGAGCCGTTAATGTATGTTTTTTCGCCCTCTTCCCCCCGAAAATATTTTGATAGCTAACGTTAGCCTTTAACCTTGGACTTTTTGTAGATATGTCATACATGCTGCAGTGATTTTCACTGCCCATTTTGTGCCCCCATATATTTCAAACCCACAAAGTTGTCCAAAGTTCAAAAACATCTCAAGGGACACTTCAACAGAGCAGTGCAACATGAAGGTAACATTTGCAAACATCTTTTTTCTTTTTTTTTCTTTCTTTTTGAAACATCATAAGACATGTGCTATCGGGCCTATACTGTTGTAGGCTATTCCAGGGTACACCATACATCGATGGAGTCGCCCCTGCCGAACCCAGCAACATATCATTTTATGATTATGCAAAGCGACTTATAAATTAGTTTTTTTAATGCAATTGAAGACGAAAAGTAAAGTCACGGACACAGTTTTTTCTTCCTTTTTTCTTTACAGCAAGATGATGTTTAGGTGATCATTAAATAAAGTACAGAATTGTTTATTATTGGTGTTTTGTCTATTCTGATTTGTTTTTCTTCGCATTCAAAATATCAAAAAACAGATTTTGTAATGTTAGCATGGTAATGTTAATTAGACCATTATAGCTTGAACTGAAAGAAAAATTGGAATTTTAATAAAAAAAATTGTAGCAATATAATATCACATACTATTTTTCAGAAGATAGTTCAATCTGTAATTGTATCCCTTCCATCGCAATGAGTTTTTTTTGGCACATGCATTAAGCAGGGAACGCAAATATTTATTGGATCATTTATTTGGAGACCGTAATATTGCATCCTATTGTTTTTAATTGCATTTGGATAAGCGTGTGCTGTACTCTGTGTGCGGGTGTTATATGATCTTTTGAACAGCAGGAGGCGCTGTGTTCGAAAAACGAGGGGTCTGAGAATGCGGGACTCTCGGTGGGGGACTGTAGATGCAGGCTCCGAGTCTGCAGCTTCATAATATTGGCGTGGGAGGTACATTTCGTCGGCTGACGAGGGAGAGAGAGGACGAGAAGCTGCGTGAGGCCTGCTGCAGGATTCCGGAGTTGCGGTATCATTGCACGTGGAATTGAGGTATCTTTGTTTGATTGATTTTGTGCTCAGGAGAGTGAAGGGGCCATTTTTCAGTTTCCCGGCCACCACGAACACGAGCCACGATTCAGGCCTGCAACGGGGTGGGTTGTGTGAATGACTGGTGTGTGTGTGGGCCCACCGCATTAAATATTATTCAGTGCACTGAAAATAATATGTGTATATTCAGAGTATCGTTTGTATAATCTGAGTGGGTTATTGTGTACATTTCTCCCGTTTGAGGTCATTGGTGCAACCTATACTGAGAGTATTTGACCTGGAGAATAATTTCAGTAGGTCTGGCCACTGATATATATTCCCTTTCAGTGTTTGAATTGTGTCAATATTTCACATTCTGAAATTAATGTGCTGAGCTAGTTATCATTCAATTACTCCATTCCAATTAAATCTTTTATCTGTTCTGTACTTTTACTCGTGTGTTATTCCTTTAAAAGTGTTGGTTGACGTCATTAGTCAGGGGGTGAGAGATTTAATGTGAGTAAAATAGTACAAGGAAAGTAGAGCTTATCATTTTAATTCTAAAATATAAACTTAATTCATGTAGTGACAATAGAGGGGCCTAACTTCAACATCGGTAGGCATTTAGTTAATGAATCTGGGAGTAGTATGAAGCTGCAGACTCGGAGACCTGCATCTACAG